GCAAAAATGATTGATTGAGCCTGACACAAGCAAAACAATTCCATTGAACCGCTCAGCCAGTGCACATTCCGAAAACAGCTCTGAAGTCATCACTTGGGTACAGCAAGAATGGACGGTCTCCGTGATGTCGAGCTTTTAGAGCTCCCTTGTAACACTCCTATTGTTATGATGACCATTGCTGGAGACACCCTGACGGCACAATCTGTCTTTGTTAAGCTTATTGGCTCATCGGATGGTTTCGTGACGATTCAAAACGCCAACAACAAATGGCAGCGCCTTGCACATGGTGAATTGGGAAGTTGCCAGTTCGCTCATCCAAGCGAAGCGGTTAATCTCAAACCCAAGATAGCTCCAAGTGGGGGGCTTGTCTTCGAATCCGAGTATGGTGTCCTTGGCATTTATTGGGAAAATCGGTTAAAGGTGTTAAGGTGCCGCGGTCGTTACTGGCAAGACACCCAAGCGTGGGTGCTGTTACAGCAATATCAACTGGGCGCGAGCGATGCCAAATCTACCGCACAGCTAAAGCTGAACGAATCCGCTGTAAATGAGAATGATTTAGCTGGTCGAGTGCAATTGGTAATGCAATCTGTCGAATTGGGTAAAACGTTGGAGGAACTAAAGGAGATTCTGGAACTGGTGTATGGTACGGAGCCTCCAATGGGGAGCCATATAATGACGTCTGTGATGCTTCGGGAGCGTCGCAAACTGATTTTGAAATTGCTGGAGGCTGGTTTGTCTACGGAAGAAGCTGGGGGTGTTTTTAAGCTTGTGTATGGAACAAGCCCTTCGATCATGAAGGCAGATGCATACAGCGAAGCTGGCACCCATGGCTCAGAGTATGTAGCCGTTCCTCTAGCGACAGCAGAAAAATTAACGAAATGAGTAAGTGAAGAGGTTTAGCGGCTCGTGCTAAGATTTAGCCAAACCAGAAAAACCATCTAATAGCTCAAACATTGGACTTGCATTTAGCGTGGAACAAAATTGAAAATAGGAATGTTCATGAAACCTTATACTAGGAATACCTTTAGCCCTCACCGAATTAATTTCACGGTACTGCGTAGTTCGCTTTTCGACATTTTTAATACCAAAGCCATTTAAATACACTCTAGAAGTGTTGCTTTGGCCTGGGAGGACAACTCATCTCAACCTGTTGAACATCATTATTTTGTATTGAGATTTAGAGTGGGGGTGCCTAGGTCGACCAACTATTAAAGCGAAACCATTCAAAATGCACCAAAAGCCTGCCGACGTCAGGCGAGGTCAAGTACAGCGCTACAGGAACTTCATAAATTTTGTTTGTTATATTAAATTCGGCTGAGCTTAGAAACGGCGTCCGACATCGTCTCTAACGGACTCCCCACGGAAGAAGTTTTTCCGTACTAAAAGCGTCCTAAACGTCCTAACTTGTCCTAATACCTACTGTCATAAATTACGGTATTGGCACAAAACTTCGGCATGGGTTATAGGATCGTTAGGACAGTTAGGACAGTTAGGACAGTTAGGACAAATACGAAAGTTGTAAGGCTACACTACCCATGCCAACGAGAGATATCTTATGGCTTACAGAATGCAGAATGCTACTCAAACGCCATGTATTCCCCGGGGACTTCAAACGTCCACAGACCGCGCATGAGCAGGAGCGCTCTGTCGACCATGCTTGATGTCGTCCAGCAATTTTATGTAGGAATGTGCCTCTGCCTTTGCAGCTTCAATGAAGACGAGAATACTTGGATGTGGCGCACCAATGCGAGCAGCAAAATCGCGATTGTACTTCTCCAGCGGGTTATTAGTCCGATTTATCATGCTCACATTGTTGCGCCGCATCTGGCTCACGTTCCACAGCGACGTGTCGAACCTCTTTGTCCACGTTCGCACAAAATACTTCCAGAAAGCGTTCCATTTAGTCTTTGCTGCGGTCTCATCGATGATGCTTCGAACATACCGTAGTCCCTGCCAAAAAAAATTAATTTTATTTTTGTAATATTTTCCGTAAGTAAAATACAAAAATTACGTACCTTGTCCAGCACATCTTCGGCAGGAATGACAGTAAGCACGTCCAGTTTTCCCGACTTCATGGCGTCTGCGATCTGTTCCTTGGGAATCTTCAGTTCTATCATCTTCCTACGTAGAGCCTGCTTCCAGTGGAAGAGGCAGCCAACAATGTTGGCTGCAGGGAACTGCTCAATCACAGCGTTAATGAGCGCAAGCTCAAAGTCACAGGTAACATCACGAGGCTCCAGCTGGCGGTCGGACGCCATGATGAGCTGCTCTAGTACTCGCCAATACGTTTCTTGGCTTTTCGAATTGACGAGTACGTAGAGTAGTGGCACGTATACGTCGACACTAGGATCGTAGACCATAGCAATCAGGCACTGCGAGAAACCTTTTGGTACCACCGAAAAGGTACCATCAATAAAAAGGGTCAGCTGAGGGTACCGTAGAATCCGCAGTAAGTCCGGATGCCCAAAGCAGAGCATACGCTGTATGCCGGCGGTGGTGAGGCGAGCCATGCTGAATTGTAGGAACGGGCGCGGGTCTGAGTCGCTAATGCTTCGCACCGGGTGCAGCCTCAATTGCACGGAAAATGTCGCCACCGGGGGCACCTTGGCGTACGTTTTTGATGATCGTAACACCACTCGGACGCGCAATACCGTAGATAGTTGACGGGGTGATGCTTGGTACGGGAAACTATCAAAGACGCGCTGCCACAGAACACCAGGTGCAACAGCGAAGTCTTTAATGGCGCGATCTTGCAGCTCCAAAGACATGTCGTGGCGTACGTCTGCGACTTCTTCTAAAATTTCTTGGTCGCAGCGGTGAATATTTTTTTCGATGATAGTGCCCCCCTTCTTGACTACAAGACGTGCTGGACACCCAGTCCGGAGCTTCACGCAGCTGAAATAGGTTGTTCCTGTCTCCGGGACGGTGCGCTTCTTGCAGAAGCGGTAGTTCTAGTGCTCCATGGACAAAGTTGTCAAGTGACAATAAAAATTAAAACAGCTATGTGTTTCTGCATGATTGGTTCCCGTTAACTTTTAAAAACCTCAATCCCAAGTTCGACTCAAAATAGGTTTTAGGATATGTCCTAAATTTCCGACAAAAATACCGGTTTTTAATTTTGGACAGTATTAGGACAGCAATGTTTTTCCGGATTTAGAACCTTTTTAGGATACATTTTGCAATCTATTCCAGTAATTTACGACGTATTTTAGGATTTTGTAGGACAGTTAGGACAGGATTAGTACAGAAAATTCGACACCCTCCCCACCCTTGACGCGCAACCCTCCACGAGACCTTTGTGTGTTAGGCTCTCAATTCTTGTAAACTCCAAAGAGTTATTAGATTTGGCTGGCTTTTAGAGCTCTGAGCAAATGGTATACTATTAATAAAATGATGCAAGAGCTGAGGACCAATAGACAGCTTAAATAAAATCAGAACTAACGCTCAAGGAGCACTTTATACTCGCTCTGAAGGCAACCTTGTACGCAGTAATGCTCGTTGATCTGTAATTATAAAATCTTAAGTAAATAACTAGATCCGCGTTTTACACAGAGAAACTGTTTTGCTTTATAATGGTAGAGCCATGACTCCCGATACCTCAAACTCTGTTCAGACCAAGTGAGCTTTGATAATCAATCTATTAAACTTAAGCCGAGAAGGTTGAAGCTACCGTTTTTATTTATTCAAACTATTATTTAAAGTGGGTTACACGACAAACGGTACTCAGTAAAACATATCGGAAACTAGATCGTGCTGGAAATTCGTGTTCCATTTTTTATTCAGGTAGCATTTTCTCCTGTCCGCGTAGCGTGGAACATTGTTCTACCATAGCCTCGTGGTGGCGCGCAAATCCTGAAGTGAATAGAGCTAGTAAGAAGAAGAAAAACACTGTCGAAACGCCATTGGAGTGTATTTTCATGGGCTCCGTTATTAAAAAATCGTGCCCTGCACGAAGAAGCTCTGAAATTTCAAATTCGAGGACTACAGTACATGCATCTACTGTGCCATACAAGTGAAATTAACGTTTTAATTGAGTTGAAAAGAATTCGAGGCGATAACAAATTTAATTAGTGCTTGTCGCTGCCACTTTTTTAGCTTCAACACAGCGAAGTCCGTTACCGAAGTAAAATCCATCCATGCAAGGTACCAGACAAGTATATATCAGTGGAGCTGTCATTGGAGGAAGCAGCTCGGTAAAATCCTCCCAATATGAGCTGGTGGGACTAACCTGTTCGTAGCTTTAAACGCTTTGACCTTGATCCCATGCATCGCTCTTGCAACTTGCTCTACCCAGTATCAGCGAGGAGTTCTAACCGAAGAGTATTCAAGCTAGGCAAATTCATAGGCTAGCATTGCATTCCATTGTGCTCCAACGTTATGTTGTTGCGGCATCGGACGCACATCAAAAAGCTTAAAGTTGACTGAAGGTTTCCGATCTGTCTGCTAACCTATAACTTGATCACTTGTCTGTGACCTCCCGGTAAGATAGCATGTAAACCATCGTTGCTACAAAGATCTCGTTTTTGTCGAAATTGATAGCAAAAACATGATTTTATCGATATACGTATGCAAATCACAAAAAACTTGAATGCTTGTTGCCAGCGGAAGAAACGGTCGCTACCACTGGGGTTTTGGCTTCTTTCTTACCCGGAAGCTCTCCTTCCACTCCTCGACGAATTTGGAGTTTTGATTTCCCAACTTCTTGCTTACTTGCTTTTGCGTTCGATCTTGTTTCTCAAGCACACTCTTGATATGCTTCAGCTGCTTGGCACTTAGTAGCGTGAGATCAGCCTTAATGAATTTATTGGGATCCTTGATATCTTTCATCAACTTGTTCCACATTATCCCGTTTTCTCGTTCTTCCTTGTCTACTTGCGGGCTGGCAGAGTCATCATTGCTCTCATCCTCGTGCTGGTGGGAGCGTAGGGAGCGCTTAACGTCGATATGAGTTGTAGTGACCAGTTCCGGGGTCGTTTTCGAAACCCAGTTGTGCTGGGCATCAACGGTGGCTGCGTTGGTGCTGACAAGGATCGTCGCCGCTGTAGCGAGAAAGGCAATGTAGAAGCGCATGGTTCAACAGGTGTCGGTGGTTTGAATACCTGTCGTGCTTGTGGGGCTCGAGCGCAAATTTCAGATTGAGCAGCTATTATTAACCGAACAACTCTGGTGGTACTGTATTGATTGCAGGTACCCCGTATCGCCGCATGTTCACTATACCAAAAGCGAACCACATACTTATGTTAATACGTTAATAAGCGTGAACATGTATTTATACCGGTAGTGAGAATTAAAGTCAGACAGTGTTGATGGTAACGTCGCGACAGCATAAACAAATCAGGGATTCATACGGCAATCACTGTACATAGAGCTGTTTGACCTTGCGACTCCACTAGATAGAAAAAAATACTTTAATTCTACCTCAAGCGTTCATCAAAACGATTCTCTTCGAGGACTCGTGCTCCAACGACCGTGACAGTTTTCCAACCGTTGAGAGGAATTCGTATAATCAACAGCGCCTTAATTACCAATAGTTAAACTGTCCCCGACAGTTTGAGGACTGTCTAACTCAAAGGACCACCACCCAGACCAGTGTTGGCAGTAGGGACTTAACCGGCCTGCCAAAAACTGGCCTAAACCTAGTTCTGCCAAGGGGATTCGGCCCTTAGGCCATGGCCCGGCCAGACGGGGGGGGGCTTCCCGCGGGTCATGAGATCTGACAAATCTCATGCGTCTTGGTAAAACCTCGTTAACAAATTTGTTATGGCATTCTACTCCAGAGGAGAGCACAACATATTTTGTAAGAAATGCTCGCTCTTTACAACTGTTTGTGGCTTAAACTGGCCAATCACAAAAATGCACTGATTTTGGATGAACTGCAGCGAGCTCTTCGCTAACTAAACCATTGAAAGACTGAGAATGGAGATTAAATATACGAGGTAGCTCATGCTCCCGCTACGTACGCCTCCCTCCATGCACACTATCACTCTTCCAAGCGACCATGACCGCCAGTCCCATGCCGCGCCGGATCCGCCTTAATATGGAGCAGAAGATCTCCATGTGCAAGTATGCGAAGGATATGCGCGCCAAAGGCAACCTGTCCAACACACAGCTCGCAGCTTGGGCAACACGTGCGTTCAAGCTGGAAAAATCTCTTTCACGCGATGCCGCTCGCAATTTTATCGCTGGGGAGTCTAAGTGGGCCGCTATGGAGCCCTGTCAGCTAGAGCGCAAGCAGCTAGTCAGCCCCCAAATCCAGGAGACGGACGCTCGCATTATGAAGGTCTTTAAGGCCATGGACGGCAAGGTGGAGGCTATCACAGGCAAGGTGATAAAGGCCATTGCTCTTCGCGTGAACGCGTATGGCGAGAACACCACGTTTATGATCTCTAAGGGCTGGCTGTATAGATTGCAAGAGCGTCACGGAATCTCCAAGAAGCGGACGCACGGCGAAGCTGCGTCTGCTGACCAAGAACTGCTAGCGGCACGCAGGCATTCTGTCGGACAGGAGCAAGATCGCCTCGCTTCTTTACTAAATATTAGTACTTTTGAAACATCTGTTTTATCACCCTCTAAGATCGTGTCTCGTTCCCCCTACGCTTTACTTTGAGGGACTTCTGTACGCATACCGATACCGTACAAACACAGCTAATTCGGTAAGAGCACCGGCTCATAGCGCGCATTGGGACCAACTACTGTACATGTACTGTAAACTTGACTTTTACTAAAAGTGTTCCATCCCTCAAATGGTACATACAGGGGTTAATGGTAACTCCAAAATCGTTGAAGACCAGTTAATTTAACCCCTTGAGCCCGAGGTAGTACCGTACTTCCTTGCTGCCGAAACCCTAGGCGCTCTTGAACTTGACTTTTACTAAAAGTGTTCCATCCCTCAAATGGTACATACAGGGGTTAATGGTAACTCCAAAATCGTTGAAGACCAGTTAATTTAAAAAATACTACAGTAGTATCTCCTAATATTTTCGTCTTTAACAAAATCATATTATTAAATATCAACTTAATATTAGATAATACGAATGGCTAATCCAAATCGGTGAAGTTAATATTGTGAAAATATCACCTGTAGACCAGTTAATTTATAAAATATTACCATATATTTTTTCAGACAAAATGATATTATTACTGTAAACATCAACTTATTATTAGTAAATACGATATTTTTTTTAAAGATTGCGTAACCTGTTTAAATCCACCAATCAGATGTCGTTAACGTTCGACTAGCTGAAGTATTAATATTCAACCGTGAGGGAGATAGAGTACCGGGGAAAATTGTGAGAGTGCCGGCAAGACTGGTTGGCACTGCTGAGCGCATTAATCTAGCGTTACAGGCTGCAGGTTATTTGACGCACGATGTGGACGAGGCTATCGGTAGAGAACAAAAACAAATACTTGATTTCGATAAAGCGACAGTAAACAACTGCAAGCGTTCGCACTTTTCCATCTCGATCGCCTTTGTCTGTGTCACAGTGAAATACTAGAGCAAATACTCGTCACTACTGCTGTTCTAGAATCGACCGATGACAAGAAACGTACTTAAGTGGTAAAAATCATAAATATAATCTTGCATCTCATATTTTTCAATCTCTGAGTTCATACTAAAATGCTATGTTAACTTTTGAAAAACTAAGCTACTATTGATATTAAACTAGCCGAGTGCCGCCGCTACGCGGCGGGTAAGAGTGAATGTCGCTCCTTGTGTTTTGCCACCGTTCCGCTCGCCACGGGCTCGCTTCACTGCTCGGACGGTAGGCTGGCAGATTGTGGCTCAGGCGGGCCCAAAGGCCCGCAGGTTTGCAGAAGGTGTCGATTTGGGCCGCCTCGCTGCGCTCGGCAGCTTTTAGGCCAATCGGGGCCACCTTCGCTGCGCTCGGCAGCCAGTAGGAATATTTAAATTATTTTATCCAATGATTTGTCCGGAAAAAGCGTGACAGGCACGACAATTTAGTGTGACGGACAGACAGGTTGCTGCAGTAGATGTTTGAGACTAGCCGTTCGCCGCCGCTACGCGGCGGAGTGGCATGCTTTATTGGAGATAAGGTGGCCTCAATTTTAAGTACTTCGTGTGTTGTGTGCTTTCAGTCTGATCTTGTACCCCGAGGCTTCGGCCATCCCCGTGCGATGTTGTGTCGTGTACTTAAAGCACCTGTCATTTCGTAGTCTCAGGTGGCGGTGTACGATATCGTGGATTCGTACGCGTCCGTTGCTCCGTACTACTGGTTGGCGTCTATGTTCTTCCGTGGATCGTGCCCTTTCCCGTTAATGCGCTCTCTCTTTTGGGATCATGCTCTTGAGTAGTACGATTTGGCTGCTAGCTATTCCGTGTTCCCAAGGTCTTAAGTGGCTTTTACAGGTTTTGTAGTTCATATTCATTCATGGTCCATGGCGTCTCACCGACGGCACCCTCGCCGATGGGTGCTATTCCGTAGTTATATGGATCCGTCCCCCATGTAGCGTGCTCTCCTGGTGTGGCTTCATCGACCGCGTTATCGCGCTATCATGCGATCGCAGTATGATCCTGCTATCCTATGATTTCGTGCTTATTGCATCTGTGTTTCCCGTGTTATTATGTTCTACAATGGCATACTGATTCACGCTGTGCAATCGTGATATCCCGAAGCGCTCCCCGTTGCTTCCGTGGCTGATCTGCCGTCCGTGCAATCATGCTATCGCCTTCTGTGGCTCCGCGATTTCGCGTCTATAGCTCCCGTGGCTGCGTGTTCTCGTACAGTTTAGTGGCTGGGCCACCGTCCGTGCTATCGTGTTATCTCGCGGTATCGCGGTTGGTCTGTCGTCCGAGCTATCGTGAGCTACCGTAGTGCTGTGCTCCGTGACTTGGCTCTACCCTGGTATCGTGGTCCGATGCTCGATGATTTCCGTCTTATGCTCTCCCGCGGCTTCGTCTTAGGTTCATCGTCTGTGCTTCATGTTGTACTGTGGTGTTATGGGAGAATTGCTTGCACCTTACTGTTTCCGTGGCCCGTGTTTTTTTAGCATGTTGGGGTGTCATTATTTCAGTTACTTTTTGTGATCCGTACGCTCTCATCATATTCTTGCCATTCCAATTTTTTATGGTAGCGTGCACGTCCGTGGTTCGTGCTTTTCAGAATCGCTAACTGCCTTCATTGATTTAGTCCTCTTTCAACGTCCGTGGCCTTCCGTGCTTCGTGTTCTTCCCTCTACCCCATCGTGTACATAGTGTGACTCGGTGCTCCTTCGTGTTTCGTGTTCTTGTTTATCCACGTGCGCTAGCTCAATTGCAAACGCTGTTTCCATTTTGTTTGATGTACGCTAAATATCGTGTTGGAAAGTGCGCACAATCTCTTAAGGTCGCACACTACGCGCGCAAATACAAAGGAATATGATCCTTTTTTTCGGCGGCGGAGTGGTGTACATAGCTATGTAGGGTGGGATTGTGGGATGGTGGAAGCCACTATCTTCACATGCTGTTATGGATGCGCTGGACATGGACACTACCATCGTGTGTGTCCCTCGCTAGTCCTCGGGAAGAAGACGGCCCGTTGGTCCCAAGTCCGGTAGCGGAGGCCACGGCCAGGTGAACGAAGCCTCTCCGGCCACCTGTAGAGGCAGTATGACCTACTGAAGAGCGCTGAGCCTTCGTGATGGGTGTGCAGGTTGTGCGCACCACGGGACTTAACCCAGAGAGACGTGGCTCTCTCAAACCGGTGAAGGGCAGTGATGGGCTGCTGGTAGTACACTCGGTACACGGGGGTACGGTACCCCTTGAACGTTTGATGAGTTCTGGCCCGTTGATACGCCGCCGGAACGTCGCTTGGCATAGCGACATCCGACTGCACTCTAAGTCAGAGTGGCGGTCGTGGGCTGGTCCTTGGTGGGCTAGCCTTTGTACGGTGAAGGAAGTACCAATGGTCCTTAACGGACCTGAAAGTTTCGGCTCGTGACTCGCGCACGCGTGTCGCTCGCAGTTCTCGCTATGAAAAACATGGCTATGCTCGAACATAAGGCACAGCTCGACTTTGTGTGCAGGCTAACAGGGCTACCAGTCAGTCTATGACGGAGCATCGGTGAGTCAT